CTACAGCACTTTATAAAAATCAGGAATTACTATACGCGTGTTTAACTGTTCCTATCATTAATTTTCTTCTATCCTAACCAATGTTTTAGGCATGCTAGTTGATGCAATAGTAACTAAAATAAAGCCTCTGATTTATATTCATCAATACTCAAGCTGCAGGATGTGTTTTGATCACTGCTCTCTCAGGAGGGAGAGCCACATCACACGTGAAAGGTACCACAGAATCCCAGAATGGTTTGGGTTGGAGCAGACCTTAAAGCCCACCCTGTTCCACCCCTGCCATGGACAGGGACCTTCCACTATCCCAGGTTGCTCCAAAGCCTCTCCAGCCCAGCCTTCAGCACTTCCAGGGTCCTTTTGTGACTCTCAGTCTCTCTTTACCAAAGGCTGATTTGAGGATTAGCTGTTGATAGGAAATGCCAGTTGAAAGGCCCTTCAGAGCCAGCCAATATCCAGCTTTACATTCCTTCAGAGCAAAAACAAAGGGGGAAAAAATGGACATACATGATGGTATTTTAGAAATATATGAGCATGAATATTTTTATTAAAGCAACACAAACAACACACTTCAGAGCTATTGAACTGCCTGAGGCAACAACCTGGAAATAAGGCTGAGCTGCAATGATGGCTGTGGGGGATATTCCTAATGGGAAGGGAAGCACGGTTCCTTGGCTGGAGCAGCACCAGACTCTGGGGGCACACTGCTCTCAAGGATGAGGGGAGATGGGATCCTGCATTTTCAAGCAGCCTTTTTGTTTCCAAATAGTTCAGGAAAATCACAAGAGCTGGTAGCAAAAATTTCAACTGCAGCTCTGAGAGAAATGCTGGGACCTGAGAAAAATGCATGGAGCTACAACACTTCCAGATACCAACACAGAGGCTCTAAAGCCTCCTGCTTCACTTTTTCTGGAGGAAATGACCAGGCAGAGAAACAACACCTCAAGCCTTAAGGAATTTTAACATCTTTGTAGGGTCTTCCCAGAGAACGTGTCCACATAATGTACTGCTGAAGCTCTTGTGCCAAGTTTAGCCTAGTGTTGGATCTGACTCTCTATCAGGCTGAAATGTTGCCCTTTTTTAAAAAACAATCCAATATATTTGAGGATAGAACAACACTGATAATGTTCACATAGGCTGCTCAGCCAGCCACACTGTATTTAAGGGAGAATTTGGAACTGTGGCTCCTGTCACATGAATTGAGCAAACCAGGTGAATCCACACCTCTTTCATGGAGATAAAGCCAGATTTTCCCCCCCTCAATCACATTTACAATCCTCAGGTCATCACACTAGACCAGTGAAGATGAAGGTTAAAGGCTGCAGCCAGCAAACACCAACCTTGCTGTGCACATGGGGTTTGTGTACCTGCTGTGTTCTAGGTGGGCATCACACCTTCCTTCTCACGTATTTAAGAAGCTCTTCTTCCCCCATAAGGTGCCCCAGCACTGAAATCAAATCTAGACCAAACTAAACATAAAAGGGGAAAACTGCCCTTACCAAAAAATAGCTGTTTTCAGCCTTTTTTTTCCTTTTTCCTTCTTTTCATAACCGAGGCGCAGCGATGGTGAAGATACGAGAGCAGAGAAGGGACATCCACAGCTAAAGCTGTGTCACGTGCTGACCCGTGGCACGCTGGCAGCCCTGTGGCAGGCAGCCAGTGGTGAGCCATCATCAGCTATTCATCAGGAGAAGGCTCAGATAAAGCAGTGCTGCCCAGCAGGTATCCTGGTGAATGCATTCCGGGAGCATCCCTCCATTAAAAAGCCAGGAGATGCCTTGGCAAATTCCCCTGGGGCCCTTTGGGGAGGCTGACATGGAATTTGCCGGCCAGAATTTTAGTGATCCACTCCATAGCTCTGCTCCAGAAGCCCAAGATGAATAGGGAGCTCTGGTGAACTTTGAAGCCTGAGGGTCAAAGTTCTCTCTCATTATCCCCAACCATTTTCTATCTGCGCAGCTCCTCGGCGTCCCAAGGGACGGGAAGGTTTGAGGCTCTTGAAAAAACCTGACACGACCAAGTCAGGAAACAGTAGGGTGCTTATGTACACATATTTTTCTTCCCCCGTTTCCCTCTCCCCCCACTTTCTTGAAAAGAAACGAGAGGGATTTTGCTATTGTGTCAAACATCAACCTGGTGGCACCAGGAGTCACTCGTGTGCCTGGCACAATGCCGCGCTCGTTTCTGCACGCTGCCCTGCCAAACAGGCCTGACCCTCCCAGGGACACCTCTTCTGCAAGAAAGGGCCTAATTTGATTTTTTTCCCTCCCCACCCCAAAACCTTTCATTGTGCAGGCAATGCTTTCAAGGAGGATGTCAGGGCTGGATTCTGCAGTACCTATTTTCTGTGTTCAAACCACTGCTTTGTGCCCGAGCTGCTACCGAATGCATCTGGCAGAGACAACTGATCCACCTGTGGCCAAACCTCGAGCAGTATTTAACACAGTGCTCACTATCAGCCACTAAACATTGTAATTGGCCCTTCAAACACCAAGGTGTTAGGCTCTGACTCAAACCACAGGCTGGACAGACCAAATGATCCCCTCTATTTCCTTTTTCTGCCACCACTAGAGGCCAGCCCACCTTTGACTGCAATTAAAAATTCACTCCAGAATTAAAAGGGCAACATTTTGATGAACTGAAATGATCTGCACATTTGAAACAACCTCAATCTGATTAAAGCTAGGCTTTGCACAAGTTTAGGAAACTGACTTTAGACAGCAAACAAAAGCTCTTTTCTTCACTGCTGCTTAATGGGAAACTTGGTAGGAATAAGGCCCTGATTTTTCAAAACAATGTAAGAAATTATCCCAGACAGCAATGCAAGCACAGCATTAAAAATTCATCACTTTCTTGTGAAAAAAAAGGAACAAAAAAATTACTGACAAACAGAAACTCGCAAAACCAAACCAGAAACACAGTATCAGAGCTCTGGTTGGGGGAAGACCGTCTCACCTGACAATTCCCAAATTGTGACATTCCTGCCAACAAAGTTTAGTACAAAGTGTACTGGGAGTGTGGCTGAAAATATTTGTGGTTCCCTCACAAACCCTTCTGATCCACACAAGGAGGAAAAGGCAACACCGAGCCCAGCACCTTCTTCTTGAGGTGGGGGGGCACAGTGGAGGACAGAGGGAAACAATTACAGGCTGGTAATTACTTCTTCTTTAAATGGATTCCCTCTAATCTCCGATGGATTTACCTCTAATCTCAAAGTAATTACGTGTAACCTCAGTGGATTCTCACTCTGGGGGCGACAGCCGCAGCTCCGGGGGAGCCTGCAGAGGAGAAGTTTCTCCATTGTCTGCCAGAGCAGTGGAAAACTCACACGTGCACGGCCCTGCCAGGAACAATAGAGCCTTTTCCAGCAGCCAGGAAGGGGCCAGGGCACACACAACAGCCTCCTCCTCCTCGCTTGGTGAGCAGCACAATCTAATGCCCACTCAGGTGGCAGCTCCACGGGGAGAGCAGAGTCCATGCTTCCCTTCTGGGAGCAATGCCAACACACAAATCTGGGTGTTTCAGGGCTGCTTCACAGCAGAATTAGGCACATTTAGAGGCACTAAAATTGGGCAGAAAGACATGAACTCCATCACACAAAGGAGCAGTGAAAACCCTGCTCCAGAACACCAGGGCTGAGGGACAAGGTTTCTGATGGGAAGCAGCAATGCCTGGAAGCTACTTGTCATCTAATTTACCACATAATGTGTAAGAGACATGGACATCACATCAGAAACCAGAGCAAAGCATCATTATGGCAGGACCTGAGACCATAAAATCTTGTGTCAAGGCAGGGGAAAAGTGCTAATATTCCATAGACAGGGAGCAGCAAGTGGGGGCAAGCACAGCATCAGCGAGGCCAGACATGGATGTGGCACTCGGGGACGTGGTTTAGTGCTGGGCTGGATGATCTTAGAGTGCTTTCCAACCTTAATGATTCTAGGGTTCCATGCTCCTCAGACACCACCAAGCTACAGCAGAAGTTTCCTGCCAGTTCCAGGTGCAGGTCTGTAAACCCCAGAATTTATAGAAAATCCATCAAAACCTTGATTTTCACTCCTTAATGCAAAAGTGACCAGGAGCTCAAGATGCCACCAATAGGCTTAGAAACAACTGGCCCTAAAAACATTACAAGTGGCAACCCTCTGATTTGCATGTGGGATGATGATAAAATAGAAGATTAGGTATTATATAAAACCACACATACATGCATATATTTATATATATATTTATATACTTGTATTTATTTTTATATATTTATATATGTAGGTGGATATTTCTATATACCTATATATCTAATATCCATATATCTCACATCTAGATCTATCTATCTATCTATCTATCTATCTATCTATCTATCTATCTATCTATCTATCTATATCTATCTCTGTTTATATATATGTATAATATATATTTTACCTTGGTGAGGGTCACACCATGATTTCTGGGGTGGGCTAGTCCTGAGTGGGATGTCTGTGCTCCTTCCACCCCCAAATCCATACTAAGAATTGTGCCACACACTCTGAGGGGCAGACAGCATCCTTGGGACAGGGATAGATGCCTCAACATGGAAAAGTTGTATGGAACATATTTTAATGGCTATGCCACTTCCAAAGAGCTGCTCAGAATTACTCCTGGATAAACCACAAGCCCTGCACACTGACAAAGACCTCTCCTCACTCTTTACTACCCCTAGAAAACTTTTCCTTGTGAAACACTTGTTTTTTAACCCTGGGATCAACAACAAGGCTATGAAAGAAAATAAAACAGAAAATAAAGCAGGAAATAAAGGCTTTAAACAGTTCCAGCAGCCTCTTGGGATGCAGGGAAGCCCCAGTCCCAGTGGAGTCAGAGGAACTGGAGTGCGCTCAGACCTCAGGCGATGATTCCCTGAGAGGGAGGGGAATGAGGAGAGAGGAGGAAGCTCCCTGAGCACAGAGGTCCCACCCAGGCCTGGCTGACCCTGCTGAAGGGCTGGGGCTCCCAGGGCAGGGGGTACTCACGTGCAGGCTGGGGTGGTAGGTCAGCACGCCATTGTCACACAGTGTCACGTACTTCTTCTTCCACTCCTTGTTCAGGGACTTGCCACTCCGCTTCAGCAGCATCCCCTGGTGGGGCACAGAGAGGGAGAAGGTGTAATGACAACACAAACCACACACAACTGCCTAAGACACAGACAGAGAGAAGAGGAACTGCCTTTCCAGATGAGCATTTTCAGACAGGCTTTCTCCTGACTCTCCCACAATGCACACTCCCTCCACTGGCTTTGTCCAGTGGGTAGAAAAACCCTCTTTTTCCTTGAATTCCATGCCTCAGGAAAGCACATTTTAGTGTGACCCACAAGGATTCCTAGCTGATGAAGACACCATGTTCTGCATTTCCTTATCCTCTAAAATAAATGATGAGCCCAGGTTGAGGAGGACCCTGCTATTGTGTGGCCTCTCCCTCCAGCATCTCCTGGGGATTCCATGCCCACACAAGAGCACACATCTATGTTCTCATTCCCTCTGCACAAAGGTGACACCACCATGGAAACCCCTCACTGCAGCAAAAGAAACCTCAATCCCAGGCAAGAGTAACAAAACAGAACCAGAGCAAATACGAAGTGTTTCAAGTAAATCCTGGATAATTTAATGACAGCGGTGTGACTGGAGAAGAAAGGAGGTGGGCAAAGTGAATCTCCTTTCCACAATATTCAGTCAAGGATGAAGGACAACAATCACAGAATCCCAGAATGGTTTGGGTTGGAAGGGACATTAAAATCTAGTTCCAACCGCCAGCATGGGCAGGGACACCTTCCACTGGATCAGGTGGCTCCAAGCCCTGTCCAACCTGTCCTGGAACACTTCCAGGGATGGGGCAGCCACAACTTCTCATCAACAGCAAAGATTAAAAGTCATCATTGTGTTCCTCCAGCAGACAAACAGACAGGAACTGCTACTGTACATTGGCCTGTTCTCAGCTGCAAAACCAAAATTCACTTTGAAAAGTAAAATACTGTGTGCTGTAGAACACTCCAGGTAGCAAATGAAGGATGCATTTCCTTAGGAAATTTTTATTTTCAACCCAAGCCAGAAGGCAGTTCCTAATGGATCCAGACAGTGTTGTGGTTGTGCAAAGCATTACTGGAATGTCCAGTGGAGATCCCATGCTCAGTACCCACCACAGGGACACAGTGACTGCTGTCACAGATCAAGCTCTGTGCAAAGCAGACACATATCCATTTCAATAAATCCCAATCAGGAATCCACCCCACACCAACTTCAGCTCCCTAATCCCTCTAAAACAAGTTTTTCCCTTCTCATGGTACAAGGCAATTAAAACAAAGAGAAAACAGAACATAGAAAGATGCCCTACCAAGCACGGCGCTTCCAACTCCCATGGAGTTGTTAACAGTGGTTTAAGCCTTGAAAACGAGTTCCACTGTTTGTTTTCCCATTCAACTTGCAGCTTTATGAAGTGATCCCTCTGCAGACCCTATCCCAAAGCCAGGAGGGGACACAGGTCAGCTCCACTCAAGCAGAAGCCCTGCTCCTGGCCACACAGCTGGAGCAGAACTTCAGAGGAGAACCCTTCCCAACACACTCCACGGTGGGACCACAAAGAAAAGTTCTGCTGGACAATGAACAGCACAGGGATCCAAATTCCCAACTTTCTGCCTGCCTGTGGGTCACATGTCTGTATTTTTTTTTTTTTTTTTTTTTTGTTCTGCTCCTTGCTAGAACTCAAACTTTTTCAAGGAGAACGGGGCTTCTGAAACGCCTCCTCACAAAAGCTCCTGCTCATCCCAATTACTGCCTGCCGGCGCCTGGAGACGTTGTTTTCTTCTATTAAAAAATGAAAGCTTATTTCTGCCTTTGACTCTCCTGTTTGTCTATAGGAGGTGATCTGTCTCTTCACCTTTCTCATCTTTCATACCTCACCTGCAGCACAGCACTGGTGTTTAGGGGGACCCAATTCTAGTTAGTGCTGTGCCGAGGGGATCAAAAATTACTGTTTCCCTGCACTGGTTTGTTCTTCAGACCCTCTAATGGGGAAAAAGCAGTAAGGATCACAATGGGGAATTTTTTTTCCCTTTACCTTCTTTTTTCAAGTTTTGAAGCCAGTAAAATGTACATATTTCATAACCTTTTAACTGTCCCTTTGCTATACAGAAAACATGTTATTACTTACATAATTTTCAATTTGAGTCAATTATAATCTCAATAAAGAGTAAAAAATCTATGACCATCATGATTTTTACTACTTAAAGTTTTGCTGCTATCTAAGTATGAATTATGACATTCTAGTTTTGGATCTAAATGAAGAAAATTATTCAAAATGAGGTTTTTCCATGTTTTTAAAGCAGAACTCTGTGCTTTGATGTAAAAAAAAAAAAACCAAACAAAAACCAATCCGCCCAGCTCAGAACTGAATAGGGATGATGGACCTATTTGTGCCTAGCCAACAAACCAGACTTCCCAATCCATTTTCTTCAGGCATTCCTTTGGCAAACAGAATCATTTTCACATTATGTGATAATTAAAAGTATCTTGAAGTACCTGGAGAGCAAACTGCTGTGAATACAAGGAGCTAACTTAAAGCGCTATAAAGCAAAGCAGCCCATATAAACCACAGTTTTTATCCCCAAGGCCACCACTTTGTGGTAATTTTATAGAATGGTCAGGAGAAATGGTCTTAGAATCAGAGTTTAGATCAGTTATAAATGCACTTTAACGTTAACTACACGTAAAAAAAATGGCCCACATGACAGGAAATGTTATTTAAAAGAAAAAAAAAATCCCCTTGCTTCAGTCACATTGTGGTTACATTTGAGTCACATCAGATCCTGTACTGAGGAAATGAGATCCAGGGGTTCCTGCTGACCCCTGATACCTCCAAGGCAATTCAGAGGCAGCTTGGGCACGTCCCCAGTCACTGCCAAACAGGTCCCCATGTACACACAGCACACTGGAAAAATCCCATTTCAGTCCCCAGGCTGGACAGTAAGAGCCTACATAAATCTTCTACTCCAAATACCAATTTTTTGGCTCTAAATAATCCCTGCCTCAAACAATTATTAATTGGATGATGCTATTTTCCCTAATTTCTACGAAATCTTTAATTTCTCACAGCCCTCCATGGGCAGTTGGGTGCAGCTCCAGAGCCTCCAGACTCAACACTAAGAATTTAACACCTCTGATTTCCACACAAACCAAGAAGAACTTCACACCTCCAATAGCTTTTCAATTTTTTTTTTTTTTTTACCACCTTCCCTCCAAAACTGCAATTCTGTGTTGAAGGGAGGAATGGTGAGTCCTCCAGCTTGTGGTTTGAAGCAGCTGGAGGAAAAAGGCTCCAAGTGGAGTGCACGGAGCTCAGTCCCTGGGTTTTGCTGGAGGATCCAGGGAGTGAACAGAGCCGGCTCTCCATTAGTAATGTGTGTGCTACATCTACTCCCAGGAGGTCATTGCAAGCCAAAAGCAATGTTAAGTGTACAAGCTTTAAATAACTTACAAAGTTAATGTAATGAATGCAAGTGTGATCTGAAATCCATCACTCAGTGGCTTGCTGTAGCCTCAAGCTGTGATAAAACACCACTCATAAATTTATATTAAAACTCTGTTCGATAGCAATTATTTACCAACAAAGATTTATTGATTGCATTTGCTGTTAGGGACTGGGGCCCTAACTGAGTCAATCAGCTTAGGCTGCTGAGCTCCAGGGCACCTGGGGAAGTTACAGACTGCCAGCAGGCTCTGCAATCCCAACATTACCGTGGGAGCAGGAGCAGCTAATGAAAAACCACCAGCCCCGGATTGATTGGAGCCAAGGTGGAAAGAAAACAACACACCCAGCACTGGTGAAGGGACCAGGGCATGTGGAACACCCAGCTCACCTGAATACACAGCAAGCAGCAAAATCTGGCTGCTCTGGGTGCCCTCTGTGAGCTCCAAACCTTGCTTGCTTAAATAACTCAGTGGTGAAACAATCATCAATTTGTTCTACTGAAATATTTTAGGTTTTAAATAGCAAATTATCAGCATTTCAAAAAGTGACCCCTTGAAGTTGCTAAATGCTGCATTGAAGATGCTGGCAGGTGAGAAGCCTTAAAAATGTTTTTTTAAGTCAGCAGAGCCAAGATTGGACCTTCTGGAAAAGGAAATGTGGTACCTACAAGGCAGGGGTTGGAACTAGATGAGCTTCAGGATCCTATCCAACCCAAACCATTCCATGATTCCACTTTGGGTTCTATTTCCTTTCAGAAATTTACCCCACTGCCATGGCTGAGGTGCAAACTTCTGCCAGCCTTTTGTTTCCTCTCCTCCCTAATTTTTAGCTGACCCCATATTGTTTCCCTGATGCTGTTCTGACAGAATGAAACAGGTAATCTCACACTTCATCATTGACAACATAAATTCCTAATTTTCCACTCAGGTCTGTAGCTCCCACAGCCATGATTAGCAGCTAGCACTGCTAGGAATTTTCTACAGCTCCTGTGCTACCTGCTCAGAAAAGAAGAACTCTCAGCCATGAAAAACCTCCTCCTTCAAATAACTCTGAAGGCAGCCACTCAGTCAGGATCACAAACTAAATTGTTACATACTAATTCTGGCCAATAAAACACCCACTCCTGTGAATCTATTAATGTGGAGAACAAATGCAGGTGAAACCCCCAGGATTCAGTGACCAGCCAGCTCTGCACAGTCTGTCCAACATCACCTGATAAAAAACAAGGGATTCATTTTTCAGTGATATTTTTTGCCTCCTGAAGATTTAGCTGTAACAGGTTTCTGGTGGTAAAGTCCATTCCTCAGCAGCTCAAACTGTTTCACCCCCAAACAATACCTGCATGCCAAATGAAGCTTTTGGTAATGACTGAATCATTGATCCATAGAGAGTCAGAGAATCCCAGAATGGTTTGGGCTGGAAGAGACTTTAAATTTCATCTCATTCTATCCCCTATCATGGGCAGGGACACCTTCCACTAGACCAGGTTGTTCTGTCTTTAAACCTAAAATCCTCTAGGAAATAAACTGTTGAAGATTCCCAGTGTATGGGGAATCCTTCCATAAAAATGTAACTTGTTTTTTCAGTTTCCCAAACTTAAATCTTTTTTCCCCTCAGG